GGCAGCGGCCTTGAGGACCATGTCGTCCCTTATCTTTGTGTTACTTTTAACATTTCCATTTTCATCAAAAACAAAGTACAGTACTGTAATCAATGAGAGCTGGATAGTGCACAGTCAATATTTTATAATGCCATGGCAACACCGTGCACACCTCGGCAACCTTGTGTTGTGTTTGTGTCGCATACAACGGGACGTTGCTGTAACTAGCCCATGCACGCTGAGGAGCGACTCAATGCGAATGGAAGACATCCAGATGGAGTCTAAACCAGTGAAAAGAGGCATCAAGCTTTACCAGAAAGCACCGATGACAGCTGTAAACAGCAAACATTAAACAGCATCAGTGCCATCAAATCTCTTCCAATCAGATTTTGCCAAAGAGAAGCTACGACGCTTTGTGACAGTGAGCTGAAAGTCAACTTCGAGTGGTGGCTGCAAAGCAGCTTTCCTCAGGTTCTCTTTTAATATTGAAAATGTGGCCAAACGTCAGGTTTACAAGGCTGAAGAAATGTCACTGCCCTCTTTTTACAGGCTGACATAGAAACTTTATTGATCCCAGGAGGAAGTCCAGACGTAAACATGGTGCAGCCATGTCTGGGAGACTCCTAACTGGGACTGTGCACTAACCAGCTCAATAATTCCCCATGCTAACAGTTTCAGGACCTGCCCAGGTGCTACCACAGGATCATGCAACCCTAAAGCTCCGCCCTCTTAATAAATCACAATCAGCAGAAAGGTTTGGGTCAGATAAGCTGAATGAAGTGGAAAAGCAGGAGGACAAACGACTCCACGATTCAGCTCACCTTTCTGTTTTCATTGGTGACGGGAATCTTGTCCCCATTTTCCCTTAAATCGTACATAAGTGCATTCCCAAACAGGTCCGTGTGAGAAATCTGGAACGTGATCATCATGTCCTCCTCCACGCTGCCCTCATACTCCAGGAGCTCCTTCAGACTCTGGTATAAAACCTGTCCAACGGTTCAGGACAATCAACACGTTATGATTAGCATCACACCAGCATTAGCATACATCACATGACAAACATGGCTGCTTTTCCTCCCAAACTAAATCCATTAGAAAGAAAAACAACAAAAGCACAACACAAACAGCTGCTTAGGTGATGCTTACCGGGTTGGCATCAGCCAAGTCCCTGAAAGTTCCTTTCTTGCCCATCAACTTCCTGTAGACCACCATGGGAAAGTGGACATCCAGGATGCAGTTGTTATAGATGGCCAAACCGAGAACGATGCCGATCAGTGTGTACTGGCCCTCATTTTCAAACGACGACGGGTTGAACCAGAACAGCTTGGTGTGCTCGTCATACGTGAACATGCCTGCAGCAGGAAAAACAGCACATGCCCGTGAATCCTGGGATACGAAGCAGCAGGAAGAGACGCTCCATGTGCACACGGAAAAAGCAACACACATCAGTTTCCCTGCTCTCTATCACTGTGTTTGTCTGATGTCAAGTTAGCTAAAAACTACTCAGCTTGTTTCCATTAGACCTGAATGGGAACATGAGAACCCTCTCAGGTCTGGAAGGACGTCTTTCAGACAACTTTGACCAGCGACAGTTCGATAACATGACAGCTGACACACTTTAGGTCAGGGGTGTCGAACTCCAGGCCTCGAGGGCCGGTGTCCTGCAGGTTTTAGATATCACCCTATTTCAACACACCTGAATCAAATTATTAGTTCATTGACAGGCTTCTGGAGAACTTCAAGACATGTTGAGGTGATAATTTAGCCATTTAAATCAGCTGTGTTGGATCAAGGACATCTAAAACATGCAGGACACCGGCCCTCGAGGCCTGGAGTTCGACACCTGTGCTTTAGGTGGAAGAAAGCAAAACCCCACAAACTTTACTTTCCAGTTTCCTAAAACGAGGCTTTGAAAAGCCAGTCAGAGATTCAGATTCAGTTAGCAGTGCAGCAGCGATGTCTATGAAATCCTGAAGGGGGGCTGACCGGAAACAATGCTAAGAAAGACCAGATCACTCCGATCAAGGATCTGAATGGATTCTGATTTAACGGGCAGACAGTGAACGCTCTCAAATCCAGCCCTGCATGCTGTTAGTGCCACTCTGCTGTGTATCGCCCACAGAGCTGGACCGTGACCGTGGTAAAGTCCAAACAGCAGACACGTACTGCCGCAGCTTCACACTCAGGTCCACGTTCAAGGTGAATTATTAAGGCAGCATCAGCAGTTCGACGTGTATGTGCGACACTTCTGAAACTAAACTGCTCGCGATGCTTTCTTACCAATATCTGGGTTGAAGATCTCCTCCACCACCAGCTGAAAGAACTCTTTGGAAACACCTCCTTCATCAACACCTTGCTCTCCTTCAAACTCCACGTACAGCTGCTTCTTCAAGTCTGCAGGATTTTCCATTGCTATCATTTCCAGCTGCAGACACACACAGAAGACACATTCACAAACATTAGCGCCTCGAGGCGACTGCAGTTGTGATTTGGTGCAATATAAATAAAATTGAAACCATCCAAAACTAATCAAAGGGACGCTGAAGTCAGCGTGAATGCACATACCCTGACCAGAGCATCGTCAATGATGTGGTCTCTGCGCACTTTGAGCCTCAGGTAAGGGTTGAGCTGCTGACCCTGCACCAAGCTGTAGAGCACGGTGATCCGCCGCTCGCTGTACATGCGGATGCGGTTGTCGTAGTACAGACCCAGGTTCTTGGTGACGGCGTTCAGGATGAACGGACAGGTCATGAAGGAGAATTTGTTCTCAGTTTCCACTTTAAAGAAAGTATAGTCCTTGTCCATCTCTAACACCTCGTTCAGAGGCTCGTTGACGAACTCCTCAAAGGGAATGAGCGGCCGCCGGCAATCGCTCGTACGGATTCCCAACTCCGTCTCCAGCGGGTCTACTCGAGGGCCCTTTTTGTTCCTGCGCTCTTCACCCAGGAGCTCCTGCAGGGTGAGGTCGCTGGACTCTGGAATGGGCTCCTCGTCTTCTTCCTCGTTGTGCTCCATGTCAAGGTCGCCGCCCAGCACGTTTGCATAATAGACGATCTTCAAGCACTTAGTGGCCGCCACCACAGCGTCGTCGTCGTTGACCAGGTTGCGGCTGTTGAACTCGTTACTGATCACCTTGTAGGTGATGAGCTGCTGGAAGGTCTCCACCATGCGCCGGATCTGCTCGGCGCTGTAATGCGACCACAAACGGGCCAGCTTGGCCTGAGCCGCCAGCGGGAGTTTGCTCATGGCCTTACAGAACTGCGGGAGAGCGATCTCAAGGTACTCGGGGCTGTGGAGGTTGCTGTTTTCCATCACTATTACAAAAAGGTTCAGGTAGTTTGGGTCTCGTGAATACACGTTATGGTACGTCAGGTCGCACTCCACATTAGGCGAGAGGTAGACCAGCGCATTCAAGAAGGCGGCTTCGATTTTATCATTGGACAGGAGGCGCTCGTAGACCCTTCGCACAGCTTCGATATCGACCGAAACCTCATCGGGAGCCAGCTTTTGGACGTCGTTTTCTCCCGACGAGCACTCGCCGAGCCTCGATGATGATGAGGAGGTGGGGGAATCCTCCTCCATAGCTGTAGTTGAACTCGCAGCTGCCTCCTTTTCATCTTCGTCCTTGTCCTCGTCCTTACCTTGGAGAGACTTGAGCTCCTCCTTGGTGTGTGGTTTGGACCTGCGAAAGCTCTGCACCAGTCCCTCAGCACTGGAGAAAACTCGGCCTATCACTCGGATGAGAGGGGAGTAATCCTCCTTTTCACCACAGGTGTCCAGGATCTCATACACCTTCTCCTCTGTCAGGTAATTTACATCTACACACAGACACAAATGTTGTTACCAAACAAAAACGTAAAAGCACAAACTGCACGAGTGAAACAGCGCAATCTGCTCACCTTTAAAATTGTCGCGCACAGAGTGGATGTCTTTATGGTTCATCTTCTTGTTGCTGCACGCAGAGTTGCTGTGAGCGCTGCTCTCCTGGTAGGTGGAAGCGGTGCCTTTCTTTGAAGGGTGTGGATCGCATAGCTTGGCGTTGACTTTGTAGAGCTCCAGAGCTTTGACCGCTGCCTCGTTGTTATCCATGCGGCTGAAGCCAACTGATGAGGCACACCACGAGTTGGAGCAAGACTCATTCCCACAGCCCTCCGTTAACTGGTGGTAATAGCGCTCTATTAGATGCTTGGCAGCTGCTCGCTTCCTGTGATCAGAGGTAAAACACAAGGCGGTAAAAGCACTGCGTGAATCCACTGTGATCCTCATAAAGCACTGAGTGCAATGGGAAATAATGGGAGACGCGAGATTGACTGCAATGCTTTTGCCACTTGAGAATCACTAAAGAGTTTCTGTCAACAGACAACACCAGAGCTGAGCTTGGTCTCAGGCTGGATGCTGAGCTCGGGCTTATGGAGCTTTGGACGTGTTGCATTTCCAGCCACTTTCAGGTCAAGTGTCACGACAGATTTATTATTAGCGTTTAGAATAAATTAAAACTTTGCCGTTGACAAAAACCTTCTGATTCTGCTGATTACACAACTGTCCAGAAGACAGCAGCTTTCCAGCTGCAGTCGTAATGGCATAGGAAACACTGAAGCAATACTAACAGAATAGCAGTATTATTTATTCACAGGTACAGATACAACTGATAATGTAAACTCAAAGCTCCATAAATCCCATGCATAATTAAAGCACTTTAACCTGAAGTACTTTCATTATGTTTTATTTAAGCCTTCAAACGTTCACATCATGAGCAAACAGTGCGACAGCTACTGGGATGAACTGGGTGTGTATCACACTAACAATACACCTGACAACATTTAGTCAAGACACAAGATGAAGACAAGAAATAAAGAAGTGAGGACAGACCCTAACACCAAGCTCCTGAATGAACTCCACACATGAAAGGTAATGAGTTTGACTTACATTCGGCTTGCTTCTGGGTTTTCTATTTCAGGCTCCTCGTGTTCTCTAAATGAACAAACAAACAAGGGTAAGAACCACGGCACAGGTCATGATGACTACACTGACATTTCAGCGTACTGCTGGCTCTGCTGTGGGGTAACAAAGTCAGAGTCCTGCTCAGGAAATTGGTCGAGCTGTCTATCAGAGGACAACAGTCTAACCAGCAAACCCACATTCGCTCTTTTTAAAGCTAAGCACTGGCTTCCACTCAGAGTGACTGAGGTCGCAGTAAATGTAATGATCTATATATATAATTCATTTTATCTCTTTTGTAAAATGTAACCTAAATCCTATAGTCCAGTTTGGACGGGCTGGTAAAGCCCAAAAATGTTGCCACTGGGACAATCTGTCGCTCACTTTAGCAAGCTAACACAGCAAATGCTAGTTAGCCTACTTTGTTACTCATACAAAAGTAATGTCTTCAAAGTAACCCGCGGGCAGATTTCTTTCGTTTTCGTTTAACCAGTGCTTGCTTTAAACTTTGCCCCAATATGTTGCCTGAAACAAAGGAGCACTGACGTCCACACAGCCTCCAACAACAGCTAACTAGCCCCCGCTCTGACTGATCGTCCTAGCATCCCGAGCCTTTCCTCTGAGCATCCCCACCTATCGGCTCCTCCGGCGGAGCTCGTCTCGGCCTGTGGTGGCGCACACTCACAGTCCTCCTTCTCGTCGGAATTCATACGAGACTTTATGCCAGCAGTTTGTTATCCTGTTGCTGTTTGTGGGTGTTGTAGGTCCTGCGCGGCTTGTCTCCAACGTAAAC